GGCTTAAAGCTGCACCGCAGAACCTCAGATGTAGGCCGTGCCAGTAACCCCGGCATGGCCAACAAAGAAAATGAGCTGACGTGCTCCGATGATGTGCGGGGCATGCTCTTCAACGACAACTGCGGGCTCCCTGTGAACTCCGCAGAGGCCTCCAAGATGGCAGGGGCCAGCTCCAAGTACAGCGATTTAACAGAGGTGAGATCTTAAATCTATGGCTGATAATTGTTTTTGCTTATCTCTCTCCATCTGATACTAACTGAATGCCCTTTGTGCATTGTTTTTCTTTACATTCAGATATCAAAGGACCACGAAGCGATGACTCGAGTCCTTTTTGGAAGGAGCCTCCGACTAAAAGTAGCTCAAACGTTATGGCGAAGAAACGCCAGTGAATTAGTGGCCTACCTAATAAGGTAAAAAACACAAGTGGCAGCTGGCTTTTGTGTTAAATCCTGAATCAAATAACATCTTTAATATGTAATCCTTTGTGGTTTTACAGAATTGAAGACACAGGGGTGCTGCTTGACTGTTTACCTGTCTTAACAAACAAGTGAGTCTCATCTGAATGTTACCATTTTTGCCTTTTACTGATTCAGCTTCCCTTATCGAATGCACACTGCAAAATACAGAACATCTGTGTTAAACAAGATCATGTAGCATAATTGGAACTGCAACAAATGTCCTTCTGTTGTTCTTTTCTCGTCTAAATTGAAAATGATATCGATTATAACAAGCTGAAATGCAATTAGACTAAAGTCAACGTTTAAGATTGTTTCGTTTTTTCCCTCTGTCTGCTCACCTTTTTGAAAATCAGCTCACTAACTGTCTTTCTCTCTTGTGTTTTCTTGTTTCCCGTCAGTCTTCAAACTGAAGCACCATGTTTGTCACTTGGCTGCTGTGTTGACCTCATGCCCCTAGTGAAAGTGATTCTTGCCAGTAAATATGAAGAGTAAGTGTCCCTGTGACTTAAAACCTGTTTATTATGACCTGGAAACGTTTGCTAGATATCTTTTTTTAAATTGTAATTTGACAAACTTGTCGGCTTTAATTGTATTTGTTTTGTTTTATTAACAGAAACATAATGGTGGGTTTACACTGGGTTCAATCCGTCATCAGGAAATGGTGGCCAGAACTCAAGAATGAGAAGAGACTGCGGGACAGTTCAGAAGACAGGTGGGCTATGCATGCTTAAAAACAACCAAGACACACAGATACTTTCAATCTTAAGCCTAACATTTCTCGTTTTTGATACTATCCAAATGTTTTATTATGATTAAAACTACAAAGTAAATGCTGCAAACTAGCACAGTGGAAACTGAGCACAAGAAACTTACATGAACAAGTCAGCTGGCTTAATAAAATAAACAACTTTCTTCAGTGTTTCTTCGAAAAGACAAATGGCAATAACCTCCACATAGGATACTATATTTATTTTTAAGAAGCAGACTCGATATATCTTCCGTAATAATATAATACTTTGTGTTATTTATTGTTATTTTGCCATTCACTAATCCTGTTACTTCTTAATATTGCATTGGGGTCATGGTGAATATGCATGTTGGGTTTTGTTATTGAAACAAATTACTTTGTCAAAATAGAGTTTACATTCAGCCTCGGGCACATTGCTGTGTCATTTTCAATAGGGAAATTCAAAATGGCACCAAAGATTCCGTTGACCACATTTGTACCAGTGTAGTCATATCCTCCATTATTTGCCTAGTCATTTAAACAACGTGCAGAAAAAAGGTGTTTTCTCAGGGTTCAGTTGGTTATGAACCTCACTAAACCTCACCAAACTGAAATACTGATCATGGTATGAAAATGGGCACAAACACTTTTAGTTATACAGTAGATATTAATGAACTCAAGCATGTGTCTCAAATGTATTTCTCTGGTAAGACCTGAAGCTTTTATGCTGCTGAGTTAAACGTGAGCTTGTGTCCGGAGGTCTTGTAGCAGAGCGTGTGTGTTGGTGTTTCTACATTCACTGACTGATGTCCTGTTTGCACTCTCCACATATTGCATTTGTCATGTGTGTATATTGATTGCAGGAATATTGAAGTCATGAAGCAGCGGCTGAAGGACTTGTGGAAGGAAGGAGCCCGGTCATGTTTGGTTCCAGGATCTACTGGAGAACTGGCAAAGGTGAGAAGGAGGACATTCATATATTACTTATCAGGGATTTTCAGAATAAGGAAGTTCCTGTTAATGATTTGCCTGGACTGGATAAGTTAAATTACATTTAACCATCCCTCAAAACATTTATTCTTTAAATGTTCATTGTCAAGCTTTGCCTGGGTTATCTGCTTGTTCTACTTTCATGCTCAACATGTTTTGAGTTGAACATTGTGTCACAAAGACGCATTCGAGTGCTTCTTCTGTATTTTCCACCCTTTGTTGATTTTGGGTGGACACATCCAACCACTCCCGTTCTAAAAAGAAACACCTCCAGGTCCTCTATAGGCTTCCTGTGTGCTTATGGTTAATAGCATAAGCACATGTAATATGAGTTGAGTTTGTATTGTGGTTCCTTTGGTTCCATATTCACATCCTGCAATTTAATAAAAGGATTTAAAAAGACTTACAGGTTATACAAGTCAATAATTGGTTGCAGAAAGCCACATCCCCTTTTAATAGTCGGTTTTTGGTGTAGATAGTATGTCAATCATATCTTATTTGAATTTGTGCACTGTTAAACTCTCTGTAAAGACAGCTAATGTGTTATCTCCTGTTCTTGTTGTAGGCCATCCAGTCTTATCTATCGCAGCTGCCCTGACCGCTGTTCTCGTAGCACTCTGAGGATGTGACCACTACTGCCGGATCATGTCTGTGTTTTGAACTGATAGTGATGCCAGAGAAATAGATGGGCTTTTTCTGCCACTCACACCCAAACCTTTTTTACTGGGACTGAACTTGACAATTCAGGCAACTCCCTCAGCTAGAGGTGGAGACTCTGAAGAAGGGCTGAGAGCCTTTCTGCAAAACACACACACACGGCAAACGACTGCTTCACATTGAAGTGGACCTTCCTGTGGGGGCATATTTAGTGGACCTCCATGAGACTGGGTGTAACGTCGCTCTATGAAGTGCCTAGCTCGTCGTCTCTCACTACACCACTCTTTGCCATTGAATGCAAATGCACTTGTGGATGTATTGAATGCTCCTGTTTTAATGTTTTTTTTCGCGCCTTGGTTCCTCTGAATCAGGAACTTGAATCGGCAACAGTCTTAAGTTATTAGAGCTCCTCCTGATTTCATTTTTGCCTCTTCATGACATTCGACTGTATGATGCATGATGTAAAAACAAGTGATTCTTTTAATCTTTTAAATAAATTTGATAAAAATCAATAATGTATTCTTTCAGATTCTTTTTAAGGTGATCTGTGTGTGTTTATATATTTAAAAGGTACAATAACAATAGCTCAGACAGATTCGTTTTTCAGAGTTCTTGCGGTCATTAAAAACCTGGAAAAGTCATGGAAATTCAAAATGCTAATTCCAGGCCCTGGAAAAGTTATGGAAAACAATATTGTTCCCAAAGTTTTGGAAAAGTCATGGAAATGTAACTAAAGTTGCATCAAATATAATTTATATTTGATCTAATCGCCGAAATAGTAATACTATAATGATAATAAATACTGTATCGTATAGTAATGAAACGTAAAATGGCATTTAACTGACGCGGTATTTCGCTGGTGAGAGATTTGAGTTGCTTTAGCGTGTAGAAGCTAGTAAGCCTACTATTTGATTTGTTTTAGATAGGCACAACATGTTTCATATGCAGACCTTATTTTCCTGTTCCATGTTAAAATAAACCATTTTCAGTGGTACCGCTGAGAAAGAGTAATTTGTTTGGTCATGGAAAATTAGGTAAAGTTCAAGTTTCATTGGTGAAAAAGTGTATGAACCCTGGTTTTTAATTAGGACATCATTTGGCAAATGAAGCAGTCACTGTGTAAGTAAACAATCGTACACTTTTGGCATAGCTCTTCCCTTGTGATCTTGCTTAATTTGCTTAATAAGTCGTCCACAGTGGCCAAACTAGTTTTTCAGCTTTTCCTGTTTGTAGTTGGTACACTTCTTTTTGTTACAACTTTATCAATCAAAATAAGTTCAGATTTTCTGTTCATCATAAGTGTTTAGCTGTTAATGGATGCACAATCATGAAACTAGTATTAAATGTTCCCATCAGCAAAAACACGTTGGTTTGCTACCCTGGCTCCAAAATGGTGGATTGAGCTCCCCATTGACATCAGGACAGCAGAAAGCTTACACATCTTCCGGCGCAGACTGAAAACTCATCTCTTTCGACTCCACTTCGAGCGATAGAATTACTAACAAAGCACTTATATACTAACAAAGGACTGGCTTATCTAAAGCCTGTTGAGTATCACTTGAAAATGTTTGGCTCTATTAAACCTAATGTACTTATATGATTCTGTTTTCTTCAAGTTTGTATCTTCTTGGTCGAATGCACTTATTGTAAGTCACTTTGGATAAAAGCATCAGCTAAATTAAATGTAATGTAAAAGAAAAAATATATTAGGTTTAATTAAAGAAAACCAACATATTATGACTATTTAGCTGTATATGTGTACGATTAGATCATCATCATCCTTAACTCAATATTTGGTAAATATGTTGTGTTTGATTTAATTTCAAACCCCATATATTGTTTTAATATTAAGGGTTGGACATTCATTTGTTTGCATATTTGTTTGCATTAATATCTACCAAAATCTTCCTTGTCAGTGTTTTGGTTCATTTTCTATAAAGACAAAAACAATGAAATCTTAATGTAAAAATGAAACATATGTTAAGTATGGTTTGCACATGCATTGTCATTTGCTTTATCATTTCATATATATAGAAATTAAATTATATTTCTTTGCAACTAAGGAGTTTTACAGCTGTACTGTATTCGTATAAAAAACAACATTTATGAATCTAAAAAAACAACTGACTACTTTAAATTGTCATCAACAGAGTGTGAACGTCGGTTTGGTCAATAAAGTTGTATTTGAAGTGACGTCATCTTCCGCAGAGAGACAGCTGATGAGCTCGGGTCTCTCGCTCCTTCTGCCAAACTGCTCCTGAATTCATCCAGTTAGACCTCATTTTAATTTGATAAAGACAGTCGACATGTTGCACAGAGACAGAATACCGCTGCTATGGGTTTTCCTCCAGGCTGTGCTCGTCGTGGCGTTGGGTTTCTCTGACATGGAAACGGGGCCTGGTGGTGCAGGTGTTTCGGTCCAACAGCCCAATGGAGATCGGTTCAAAATCGAGGGAAGAGCGGTGGTTCCCGGGGTGAAAACACAAGATTGGGTCTCCTCGGCCAGAATATTCGTGGAAGGTGAAGAGTTCGTGGGCTTTGTGAGGTAAGAAACAGCTTTTAATACACTAACCCCTAGCTAGCCTATTAGCGAGGCTAAGGTATCATTAGCCTCGAAGCTAGCCGGCTAACCGCACGGCAGTTGCTGTCGGCAGATGGCAATTTCTCACCGTGCTAACTAACAGCTTAATATTTGTGAAGGTAACTTGTGCCAACATGGACAACAACACGGTTATTTCATTTTTACCTACCTGTCACTGAATTTAGTTGTTTATTGCATTTTGAGCTCAGCCAGGCCTCATTGTCGCTGTAACCATAACAAACCTTAGCTGCACGAGACACGTCTGTTGATGCAACACTGATGTTATGAAGATATTCAGTTGTGGAAAGTTACTAGGTACATATACTCAAGTACTGTACTCAAGTAGACTTCTGTCAAACGTGTACTTTACTTTAGTCATTGTATTTTATTCTACATAATGCGTCTAACAAGTGACATAATGTAATCTAGATTCTAATGTACTCCACTACATTTTGGAGACAAACATTGTACTTTTAACTCCAATTCATTTATTCAACACCCTTCGTTACTATACATGATATATGATAATATGCAGTACTGTACTGCTAATATACCTAGTATTTTACAAAGTAAATCATTAGTAAATATCACTGTGTGAATACCCCACACAGTACAATCCATGCATTCACAACTTGCAATAAAGTATGTAAGAATCACCAGCAAAAGTGTGTAGGAAAAGTACTCAATTAGCTGGAATTGTATGTGATGTTTCTTCATTAATATGACCGCTGCAATAATGTGTATCTTGCATTTTACTGCACTAGATGTTGTGCACATTTTTACTTTATTTTGTGGGGTTGTTTAATCTACAATAATGCATTTTATATTATACGATCATCGTGTGTGTAACTCTCTTCATGAGTTCAGACAAATATTCCTTTTTTGTGTGCGTTGTGCCGAAGCATTTTCCAGATGATTCAAGAGCTTTTTTAAAAGGGTATTTATTTTAAGAAGTATGAGCTTGTTATGAACTGAATTTATTACATGTGTATCTTGACTAAGTCCAATCTTTGTTACAGAACTGATGGCAGTTTTGCTGTGAATGACGTCCCCTCCGGATCCTATGTTGTGGAAGTTATCACCCCTAACTATAGATTTGAGCCAGTGCGTGTTGACATCACATCAAAAGGCAAAATGAGGTAAGACCTCCCTACAGTGAGAAACCCAAATGAGTTTCATGTTGGCCTGATTATTCGGCTTACTGAATAGAGGAAGCTCTAACCACTGAATTAACCACGAGTCATTTCACAGGGCGCGTCTTGTGAACTACATCAAGACCTCAGAAGTAATCCGCCAGCCATACCCTCTTCAAATCAGAGCAAATGGCCCTCAGACCTATTTCATGAAGAGAGAAACCTGGGGATGGACCGACTTCCTCATGAACCCAATGGTAAGGAAATTGCTTTTGTTTCTCTGAATATGTATGATCTTTACCCTCAGGAGAGATTTACAATATGTCATATTTGTTTAGATTGAGATTAGTGAACGTTTAGATTCATTCAGGAAAGCATGAAGAACACTTTTAATTGTTAACTGTTATGCATATCATTACCTCACCTTAATAGAACCAAACCTTCGCCTGATTACCAAACAGTAACCATTACAAATGCATTAACCAGAAGAAAGATTAACTGTCTAATTCAGTGGAAAAACCAAACTGTGTGTTCCTTAAATCTTCTTATTAGGCATCTTAATTTGTGATTCATTGAGTCTAGGTTGCTCGTGTTTGACTTCAGTTATCTGCATCATTATTCAGTTCATACCATTCTATACATACTGTATAAAAGTGTCAAAGATAATTCCTGATCTTCTGGCTCTCTTGTTTTAATGAATTGTTTCTGTTGCTCCTGCAGGTTATGATGATGGTTCTTCCGCTGCTGATCATCGTTCTACTGCCCAAGGTGGTCAACACTAATGACCCAGAGATGAGAAAGGTAACGAATCCTTAACAGTCTGAAGAGTTCTATCAGAAATATTGGCTGTTTTCTTTTTTTATTACTGCTGAATTTTATTCCATATTTTATTCCATTCTATTTCTATGTAAATGCTGCTATATTTTGTATTATTTTTCAATGTTATTATATTTTTCTTAAAATAGTTCTTTATCTGTGTTTTACATTTTTGTTTTACTTATGTATGCACTATGACATCAAGTCAAACTCCTCGTACGTGTCAACCTACCTGGCAATAAACCTGATTCTGATTTCTCTCCAGTTTATAGGATTCAGGTTTATTAAAATGTATTAATTTTTACTAGTGTAATTTCCTGAAACAAATAGTCAGTTTCCTTCCACGTTAACATATCATTTCGTGATTTTGTGGGGGGGATTATTTGTAATCAGTAAGGCTTTCCGGAGTCTGTCCCCAGCCTTCAGTTCATCATCTACATCTGTGTTCATTTCTCTGCTGTCTTTACAGGAAATGGAGCAGTCCATGAACATGCTGAACCCCAACCCCGAGCTCCCAGACGTCTCCGAGCTCATGACCAAGCTGTTCTCCGGCGGCTCCAAGCCCTCCACTAAGGCAGTAACCAGCAAAGGCACCAGGCCGGCTGTGAAGAGGAGGTAGTACATTAAGTCCTCCTCACTCTGCTTAAAGAAAGAACGAGTTATGCCGTGGAAGCAAGATCTTTAAGTGTCATTTTTTTTTTTTTTTTTTTCCCTCCGGGTCAATTGTACAGTTTCTCTATTATTAGATGTTTTAAGCACATCTTGATTTCTAATATGCTATTGGAGACTGAGAAAAAAAATATGATCTTTTTCATACTGCACTGATAGAAATGTCTGAAACCCTGCAAAGCTGTTTTCCTTCATTTGCTCTATACTTTCTACACGTGGCTCTGCTACTCGCCCATCTTTTCTGTGCTAACCCTCTGGTGTGCTTTTTTTCTCCACTGCTGCTAATTCTACTACCTGAAAGAAATCATATATACAGAGATGTTCATGTTTTAGTTTTTTCCCAGTGATATGACTGAATGAATATTACGTGAATTTTAAGACTAATAAATCCTTATTTAAAAAAAAAAAAGCCTAGATAAATAAATTTGCAATGGTATATAACAACTGTGTTTTTATTTCACACCATCTTTGTTTGAGAGGGAACACATGGCCTTCTTATTTTTTTTTTATTTATGTGTGGCATAATGTATGGTCAGTATTTCCATACTGTACATTACCACTGCTAATGGTTTACTAATTGGAATGTAACGATTGCCAGTTCTAAGGATGAAAGAGCTGTGTGTTTGCTATTAAAAAAAATCGCTATTGTAACTTAACTTTTATTAAAGAGGAAATCCTGGTACTGTGCATTTGTCCTTATTCTACATTAGGTAAAGTCCTTTTGTGCATTGAACCTGTTCAAATAAAGAAACCTAACGATTCCCATTGGATGACCAAAACCAACAATGCTAATCCGTCTCAAAATATTTGTTTCCCCAAGCGCATCTGATACATGAAGACATTTTTAAAAAAAAATATTTAATTTATTAAAACAGGTTGAGACTGTAGTTTTTAGCAAATGCTACTCAAACACGAGAAAATATTATATTTATATGAGACTATTTCCAACTGTTTTGATGCACTATGTACTTACAGCAGCATAATGTTTTTTTATGGGATTTACTTCAAACCAGTTATGGTGTCCATGGTCATTGTAATAAAAACATGTAACCCAGTGAAAAAGAGTGCTTTATTCTTGTGTTTTTTTAAGTGTTTGGACAATGGAAGTTTATGATACAGAGGAATACACTATATTAAGTATTGGCTACACAGGTTGTTATTAAAATCAATGTTATTGTTGGTTTCGGTCTTTTACCAGTTATGATGGCAAAAGGAAAATTATATAAAATTACCAACCAAAGGTATCAATAGTACCATGTCATTCTAGCTGTAACGTTCATCCATGCTATCTATACTTTCGTTTTTCTCAACTATTGCAGCGGGTAATGATTGGCAATCTTTTTATTAAAAAAGAAATACAAGTACAAAGCAAGATTCAACACTTTTGATGTAAAAGGTTCATGCTGACCAAAGTGTGATTTTCTGCCTTCGAGTTGTTTTTTACTGTTCATATCAGAACACAAAGACTCACTTTCACAAAACTGCACACAGACAATGAGCACAAATCCAATCAAAAAGCTCTTTTGCTTCTCGGCAGAACAAAAGGCACAGAGTTCAGGGAGATAACTTTTGACATTACATCATTAAAAGACGATAGAAGTGCAATAATTTACAACAGCATCAGTCATCGTTTAGAGAGACATGGTGGTCGGCTTAATTCTGTTCAAATACCTTGTGTCGAAGTTTTTACAGTAATCTGAATAGTGACAGAAAGAAGAGGTGTGATCCATAAACAATCTCTTACGTAAATGCACAGAAATGTACAGATTAGCCCTTAAACACAAGATCAAATATCGATTTGCCAGAGCCAAGATAGGAAAACAAAAACACAACACTGATATACATTAAGCAATTTATACATTTGGGTGAAAAACAGAATCAGTGAAATATATTATTTATTAATTACTTTGAAATGTGTACGCCTACAGTATGTCCTCTATATACAGTGCAAGTGGGTGAAAGAATATAGGAGGATAACATGAGGTTTAAAGGACCAGTTCAGAGTTTTTCCTCTAATGCTCATGCAGTATACGTTAAAAGTATGTTTTTACAAGGTCCTGTTATCATTCCTCCTGTCTACATTGGTGTGGAAGTGATTCCTTCAAGCTTAAAAGTGTGACTACAATAGGGATTCATTTCATATTCCTCTATAGAAATGTTATGTTGAATTCCTTGCAATGTTTTTACAAAAAAAATTGTGAAAGTGTAAGATAATTCAACAAAAAAATCTAGAAAGAGTTTTTTTTAACGACATGTCGGTTCAAGAAAATGAACATTGGAAATTAATGACTTTGGTGAAATTAGTTGTATTCCCCAAGACTATATAGCAACCTTCTGTACTAATATGGAGTAGCAGTTTAAGTTCTGCATCAGGCTCAGCTGATTTTCCACCAACAAGTATACTTTTAACACAAAAACCACATGCAGCACTTCATGCTGAAGATGACCACTGACTACAGAATACATCGAGAACATCCACATGTCTGCTCTAATATTAACATGTGCCACATCAAGTCACTTTATTGTTGGCGTTTGCGTTCTGTCCGCACCAGTACAGCTTGTCCTCGCCTCTCCTCCTCCTCCTCCACTGGCAGAGCAGGAGCATGCGGAAGGTCTTCTGGAAAGTCTTGTTGCAGAGGGCGTAGCACATGGGGTTGATGGTGCTGTTGACGTAGCACAGCCAGTAGCCCAGGTGCCACAGCGACGTGGGGATGCACTCGGCACAGAAGGTGGAGATGAGCACCATGATGTTGTACGGCGTCCATGTGAGGATGAAGGCCAGGAGGATGGCGCTGAGAGTCTGCGCCGCCTTCTTCTCCTTCACCAGCACCATCCTCTTCCTCTTGGTGATCTGGTTCTTCAGGACGGGGTCCAGGGGTTTGGAGGTGGAGGAGGCCGAAGGGGAGGCGGTTTTGGGAGGCTGCTCTGCTTCAGGCAGGCAGGGTGACGCTGTTTTAGGTTTGCCGTTTTTAGGCTTGGAGCCAGGTTTGAATTTATAAGACAACTTTTTTTTACTGCTCTTCTTTTTAGGAGTGGAGAAGTACAGTTCTTCTGTGTAATCCCCCACCTGCCCGTTCTTATTACTCTGAACACTCTCTTGCTCTTTGAATGATCCCTGTGGGGTTTCTATTGAAACATGCTGCTCTTCTTCATCAGATGAGGAGTAGCTGTTGAAGGAGGTGATCTGATCAGATTTCACCCATGCATCGTCTGATCTAGTTGTCATTTTAGTGACGTTACTTTGGTTAGAGGACGACCATGAGGCCTGACTCCGTTCTCGCCTCTCTCTGGTGAAATGAAAGCAAGAATGAATGATGGTTTTCTGAGGTTTAATCGCCTCTAGAACATTTTCCTTTGCTAAGCCTTGCAGTTCTGCCAGATCTTTGGTGCGTCTCTGCGTCTCCTTGTAGATCCTGCAGTAAAGGATGGTCATCACGGAGACAGGGATGTAGAAAGCAGCAATGGCCGTACCAAAAGTGATCACAGGCTCTGTTAAAAACTGGATCTGGCACTGGTCAGAAGGCACGCTTCTCTCTCCTACAAAGTACTGCCAGCACAGGATGGGTGGCGCCCAGAGGACAAAAGACACCAGCCATGCGAGGCCGATCATGATGGCGGCTCTCTTTGGAGTCCTTTTAGCTCTGTAAGTCAGCGGCCTGGTGATGGAGAAGTATCTGTCAAAGCTGATGACGAGTAAGTTCATAACTGAAGCATTGCTGGCTACATAATCCACCGCCAGCCAGAGATCACATGCAAGGTTTCCCAAGGACCAGTAACCCATCAGGATGTATGTGGTGTACAAGTTCATGGACAACACTCCTATGATGAGGTCAGCGAAAGCCAAACTCAGCAGGTAGTAGTTGTTGACAGTCTTCAGCTGGCTGTTGACTTTGAAGGACAGCAACACCAGTACGTTACCAACAACCGTTATCAAGCTGACAATGGCTGACACGGTAGCGATCGCTATAACCTCCCACACGTTGTGGGAAGACATCTGGACGTGTGAGGTGTTGGCAAAAGTGTTGTTTGGAGGATTTACATCCATGTTGTTATCTGTCTGTGTTACTGTTGACAGGTCAAAGGAAGGCTCCAAATTGTGGTTCCATTAAGAGTTATCCTGAAATACAAAGAAACACATTAATCAGACACAATTGCACATTGTAATTTTTTTGTAAAAATGTTATTATGTAAAGTTAAACCCCTTTTGATACACCATTTTCAAGGGGTTATAAAACTACACCTATATAGGTCTACACTTTTGTTCTATTAATATTGTGGTTTGTTCTGTATTTATTTAAATATGTTTAAGTTCTCTTTGGGCATTTTTGGATTCAGCAACATCACATGTCTTATGTGTATTTTCTTATGTTCTTATGTAACTAATTATCCGATCTATTTGCTAAAATGTATTATATTTGTGTTTTAAACTTAAAGAGAAAAGTATGTTTCTTTAGAAATGCAAAAAAAAAATTGAACAATTGTTTATTCATAAGAAAAAACATTGAAGCTGTTTTGAAATGTATGTAATTTAATAAACCTCAGATCATATAATTGAATGCATGAGATCTAGTGAAAACAAGCTTTTAAAAACCTTTTTTATTCATGTTTGCTCACAAACCATGCAGCAGTTTTTGGTCTGACCTTTTTATTTCTGTATTTCAATTTCATTATTTATGTATCTGTTTTGGTGTAATTCATTGCATCCATTGCCTGCATTTTGGGCAATTTTGTTTTCCAATTACAATACAATACAAAAATGACATTCCATTCTGGAACCTAAACATGCCTTTTGTGTCTTTACTTAAAAAACAGATTACTTTGATTGTTTTGGTCAAAATAGGATTTGGAACCATCTAACGCCATTTTGCTGTCGGACACAATTCCATGTAACACTCACTCCACTCAACTTTGAAGTGTTACACGCTAAAGTGTCCGGCCAAGGTTGACAACAGTAATGGAGTTCAGACAGAGCAAAAGCAGAGGAGGCAGCTGGAAAAGAGGCGGCCGCGGGGGAACCGACGGAGAGAGTTCAGGCGGTGAGCACCGGGGCAGAGGGAGAGGAGGGCAGACCCGAGGCCGGGGGAAAAGAGACCATTACCGGGGCCGAGGACGCGGGGGAAGCGGCCCGTCGGCGGAGCTCCATCCCCGGGTAAGAAGTTACACAGGCTGCCCCATGGATGTATAATAACCATAATGACATCTTTGATTGAACAAAGGCGATCGGACAATGCACTTTCTGCACCTCTGCCCTCTGAAATAAGTACGTCTTCGTAAATTACGTGTTGTGTGTATTTTCAATGTAGTGTTTTCTGTATGTCTATTATGTATTGACAACTATTTAAATAAAGTTTTCAACAAAAAAATATGTATAATAACAACTGCCCCCGTTACCAGAGTTCTCTCAAGAGAAGAGTACTCAGGTCTTGTACATACGTAAAAGTAGAAGTACTTAAGTCAAAGAAGTAGCAGGGTGTAGGAATACTCTGTTAGAAGTGAAAGTCCTGTAGTCTAAATGTTACTCAAGTACAAGTAGAAAAGTATTAGCATCAAAATATAGTTGAAGTACCAAAAGTACTCATCATGCAGATTGGTCCATTTCAGAATAATATATATGATATGTTTTATAATGATTGATCATTAAAGTGTTATCAAAGCTGGTAAAGGTGCAGCTAGTTTGAATGACTTTCTATACTGCAGGGTAGCTTGTGAATTTACTCCGGATGGAACTAAAGTCTGATTTAAGAGTTGATTATGTTTCACATCATTAATCCAAATCTGTAAAGTAACTAAAGGTATTAAAGGTCCCATGTCATGGCCATTTCTACGGATCATAATTCCTTTGTTGAGGTCTACTAGAATAGATTTATATTGTGCAATTTTCCAAAATCACATTGGTTTCTCATACAGCATCTCTGTATAGTATGTGAATTCACTCTCTGTCCTAAACGGCTTGTTGGAGCTCCTGCCCCCCCCCCCCCCCCCTATGAGCCCAGTGGCCGCCTGCGAGACAGCGAAACACAGCACACACACACACACACACACACACACACACACACACACACACACACACACACACACACACACACACACACACACACCCGCCCGCAGCCTGGCTGGGAGTTTGTGTGTGTGCTCACACACCGACTCACAGCCTCGCCGCGTCCCACAGTCTCAGGGAGGAGAAATCTGCGGCGCTGCAGCTGAGAAAAGATTGAGTGTGTGTGTGTGAGGAAGTCCGCGGATTGGACAATTTGGACCAATCCACGGACTTAACGTAACGGCTCCGCGGAGGTAACGTAACGGCTCCACGGATTGGTCCATTTGGACCAATGGGTCCATTTGGGTATGGGCACGTCACTGTACCCAGGAAGAAAAAGAGAAATCTCCAATGACGGCAACCGTTTACATGCATAAAAAGCTACATAACACACAAGGGGACGGGTAATAACCAGAAAAGCATGACATGGGACCTTTAAATAAATATATTGGAGTAAAAGTACACGATTTACCTATGAATTGTAGTGGGGTAGAAGTACAAAGTAGCACAACATTTAAATACTCAAGTACTTGAGTACATCTACTTAATTACTTTACATTACACCACCCTGCCAAACCGCTGTGTATCAAATAGTAATTTAGTAGTTGTGTCACCAAGAAAATGCACACACTCCTCATTTGCACGTCCTCTTCAATTCGGCCTAAAGTAGCATTCATTTCAACATAATCTGTAGAGACTGGTACCGAGCATTGTAAACATTTAAAAGAAAGACAAAAGTGATATAAAAAAAATAAGTTTGTCAAACTATAAATCAGTGTTGTGTTTTTGTTTTCCTATCTTGGTATATCGATATTTTATTTTGTGTTAAGGCCTAATCTGTACATTTACAGCTGCATTGATTTCATAATCTGTAGAGACTGGTACCGAACATTGTAAACACTTTCAAAATAATGTTCATAATGTTTTTTCTAAAAGTGAGGCAAAAGTGATGTAACATAAATAAGTTTGACGAACAAACTGGTTGATTGCTGTACAGTAGAGAAGCAGGTGTATGTCATCATGATCACATCTTCATTTCCCTCTTTACAAACATAATGAGCTCCTGGCTGTCAGCATGTACGGAGGTAGACTGAGAGAGGAATCATAGTGATGAAGCTCCTCAACAATATCATTGTGCCTCGGAGATGAACGCTCGACGGTCGTTCTGTCAGTAGATGCTCCTGCCATGGTAACTACAGAATGGAAAAACAATAGGGACTCTGTAATTGCAATCATACAAATCTCCTTTAGGTGCATAGCGGCTCCTTGATTGCAATCATGGAAAAGTCTGCTTTGATGGATCCATTGTTACCATGGGGACTTTGATGATACTGTTGCAACGAAAATTGTTCTGTTTTTGTGTTTGAGTTTCTCACCAAGAAAAACGGAACTTTCTGTGCACACATTTCCGTGACAACCTTGGTGAAGGTTCGTGCAGCTATTTGACAAAACAGAAAGGAATCGATGACGCAGAGACATTTAATTAGTTCAGTTTTTGACGTCTATTATTTTTCATTGAGAACGACGTGCCAGTTTACCTTGACCCTTTTGTTAGGCGTAGCTACCAATCATGAATAAGAGGTATGTGGTAATTATCACTTAACAAAACGCTCTTTCAATAATTTCCTTTGTGTGCCGCTGCCATGGCAAAATCTTGACTCATAGCATGTAGCTCCAAACAAAAGTGAGACTATTTGAAGTTTGTAAAAATGAAGGCAGGATTACGTTTTCACACAATCTGACATTTCTTTGTTCAATCTACCCCAGCTGAATGATATGCAGCTTAGCCTTTTATGAAAGCTTCTGGAAAGATGGTGTATTTCAGATGTTATGTTGTTAAAGGTTCAATACTAAAGGCTTTATTGCACATTAGCTACATTGTAGATATGGCAATGAAAAAGTCACAGGCTCCTCCAACAGTGCAACATGAATATATATTTATGACATAAACAAATACAACAGATAAAATAGTGCAAGAGAAGCTTCCTGTTAAAGGGCCCATGTCATGGCCATTTCCACTGATCATAATTCCATTGTTGAGGTATACTAGAATAGATTTATACTGTGCAATTTTCCAAACTCACATTGGTTTCTCATACAGCATCTCTGTAAACTACGTGTATTCACTGAATTTCACTCTCTGCCTTTAACGGCTCGTTGTAGCTCCAATAGCTCCAGCCCCCACCCTCCCTGTGAGCACAGTGTGCTCTGATTGGTCGGGACGTTGTGAATCGCGCTGAGCTCCGTGGAGGTGTTGTTTCCTTGTTTAGGATACATAGCGAAACACAGCCAAACTCATCCTGAGCACACACAAAGTCACATCCGAAGTAAAAACAATAAGTGTGGCTTGATATTGAGTAAGAAAAAGGTTGATAAATGCTGTGAGAATGGGTCTGCAGAGAGAATTTTGCCGCGATCCCAACTGTCTGTTATCAGCCTGCAGCCAGGGAGGAGAAATCAGCTGAGCTGCCTGCTCCCTGCACACAGATGTGTGTGTGAGGAAGTCCGTGGATTGGTCAATTTGGACCAATCAGCGGGGGCTTAACGTAACGGCTCCGCGGACGTAACGTAACGGCTCCGCGGACGTAACGGCTCCGCGGACGTAACGTAACGGCTCCACGGATTGGTCCATTTCGTTCCGGGTACGGCTTGACATCATGCCGTCCCGGAAGAATCAAATGGACAATGACGTATCTCCAACGAGGCGTTTTGGGGAGGTATTTTCTGTGTTAGAGTTTTACTCGCTACAGGGTGTACTTTGAGGGTTTTGACTTTGCACACAGTTTACATGCATAAAAACCTTCATAACACACAAGGGGACGGGTAATAACTGGAAAAGCATGACATGGGCCCTTTAATGCAAATACATTTCCCAAGATGCTACAGGGGAAAACAAGATGTACAAATATCTGTTGTCTTCCCAGGACACAGTGGAAGAGCATTATTTTTCAGATGCTTTGCCATTATTCCAAATCCTCCCAGAAATGTGTGTAACCAACCATGTTCCTCCTTTTCTTTTAGGATCACGATGCAGGGGAATACTTTCAGGAGGAAGACAACAGTATGGAAGTTTTCTCCAGGAGGAAACTGGAGTCAAACTGGGATCGTTACGAGGCGTCCGAGCGTCAGGAGCCTGACGATGAAACGCCCGCTCAGAGGGGAACAGACTACCACGTCCTGATGGAGTCAGCAGGTAAGATCTGACCACTTAAAAATGGGTTTGTCTAGCTTCCCACAAACTTGAAATATCACTGTACTTCTTCTCGTTTTGGTGGCTAGATGTCTGTGTGTCACATCAAAGAAATAAAACCAATTAGCTCCACCACTTCTGCTCTACAATCTTGTTTTCATTTTTCACAAATTCTTTTGTACCAATAGAGATCAAACCATCCTCTGATTAAAGGAAAAGTACCAAGCGCTTCTACTTTAAATTTGTGTACAGCTTTTCCAGGATAACAACATAGAAAGTGCACTTTGTATCAAATCATCCTTCTGAATCTAATGGAACTTTTCTGAAGTTCTCTCTGTATCCTAATTAGTTTAAAGGAAGTGTCTGTGTGTTGGACTGGGTTGTCAGACAGCTGCATAAGAAAATCTTTATTTGTCTTTGTTTCAGCCTCAGTGGTCCGTGCTTTGGCCTCCTGGGGTCTCAACAGTCTCATCTCTGTTTCTGTTGATATTTCTTCCCCCAGAGGAGCACAAACGATGGACGCTCAGGGCTTTCTTATTAGAGCAGAGCTGGAGGTTTCTTTATATTCAGGACAGATTTCCAGATAACAACCCCAGTGTGTCACATTTAGCTCATTTTAGCAGCTCCCTGGAGTGCAGTAATTGAGCAATATTGCCATGGTTGTTGGCTTTCTTGCATAGTACTACAGTGTATTGTTTACTGTGCTGTTGAAGTGTTGACATGTTTGGTTTTTATATTATCTAGTGTTGTGTTATAAGAATTATGATGCCATTATTCAAATTAAGGTGACACCAACACGATGGCTTTTTATTAATTAACAAACATCAGATTTTAAATATTTGAATATCACTGTGGAAGAAACATGCCACGGTAGAGGAACAACATACACAAATGAACCTCAAAATGAGCAGAATACTGCAGAATATTTTAATATGAACAACAATTAACTGACTATGTGTAATTTGAAAGTGGTTGATTGCAGTTTTCTTCACATATTATGAGCATTTTAGTGTTTTCAGATCTTTGTTTCGGTCTTTCCTGTTTTTGTTCAGGCTTACATTCATCAGCGTTTTATTCAGAACCAGCTGCAGCCCCCCCCACTGTGTCCTGCACATAGACTGTGTATATAAAGGTGCTACACCAAACAGCAACATTTGGGGATAACACTGGAGCTTAAGCCCAGCCAAATACAACCTTAACAATAAATGCAGCTTCAAATGTAATTTCAGAGGCTTGGATTTATGAAAACATAATAATATTTAGGGAGGAACACTGTAATTATTAACATTTCTGGCATTAAAATGAATACATCTACAAGATATGTATTCAAAAAAAGTGCTTTTAATGTCAGCAGTTAGAAAGAAGACATTTTCAAGCCAGCTTTACTGATTGGTGTGAAACGTTAAATCGGCTACATTTTGAACAAACATTGTTACATTACATTACATGTTAGACGCTCGATAATGTGGGCAATCCCCACAGGAGCAATTTGGGGGGAAGTGTCTTGCTCAGGGACACAACGACATGCTGACTGCAGTGGGGTTTGAACCTGTGCTCCTGTGATCCGAACACCAACGCACTATTCCACTGCGCCACACGCCTGTTGAATTAAACCTGCTTTTAAACTGGTAGAGTTTTAGCTTAATGTCCAGGAGTTGACTGATAATCTATGCAGGACTTGTTCGTGTTTTGGCAGGAAGTTTTGAGACCAGTTTTAACTCGGCATGAGTGTTTAACAGCTGACTGTTTTTAGAGGATTGTTGTTTTTTTTTCTCACGCCATTAGAGAGAGTTAGAGTGTTTTTTAACGCCCTGTCTCTCTCTCCCGTTCTCTTTTAGCGTAAATGCCAAAGGGGCTCCTGTGAGTTGTTTGACTCGTATCTCTCGTCTCTGTGTTTTGCCCACATTATCAGATTAGTCATGCCGTACAGCAAGAGGCTGCCGCTCTCTAGAGGATACTTAATTGTACGTGGGTGGCGATGCTTTCAATAGTCGTTTTCCTGGATAATTAAGGTAGCCCTGAAATCAGGAATCTGCCACAGAAACCTGCCTCTTGAGTTACTGAAGAATACTTCTTAATGTGGAGCTTTTTTTTACCATCACTCATTGTCTCCAAGGTGTTGAAGTGTTGCAGCTTTCTGGTAGTGTTATTGGCAAGTATGTGCAGAGTTGATGTATTCTAAGATGTAAATGGCTTTGAGCAGTGTTTGTTAACCTTTGTAAGGTATCTTGAAGTTCTTAAATAACCCAGAGCAGAAAGGTAGTGAAGGAGGCATAAATGTTAGTGAGATTATGAAATATTTTGATCAATGTTTTAATGCCACTTAGCAGCCTGTCACACTCTCACTAAACACATGCTGTCTGTCATTAGAAACCAGTGTCTGCTGATGTTTCCGTCCGCTGCTCACTGTCAGAGCTGAGCACATATGAGCAACCTAAAACTAAACTCTAAATATATATCTGTGTGGGAGGGATTGTTTTGTTCTACCTGGCTTTAAAAGGCAGAGAGCATTGAAGTTTAGATAAAGAGACCATGTCTTTTTTTGGAAGATCTTAAGAACTCAAACAAGTAACTTACAACTCTACTGCAATATTGATAATTGCTTACAATTGAGTTTTAACACAAAAGTATTAAACTGATCACTTGTTCCAGCTTCTCAGATGCATATATTACATACTTTTTCTTTGTTTTCCATTATGCTAAACTGAATTACTGTGATTTAAGTAAATCAATTAATCACATTTGTCAAGTTGTCCTTTGGGAAATGTAACACGTTTATGGTTTTCTTTTGTTCTATTGACCAAACGATTATTACAGAAAATTGGCATATTGATTGAAAATAAAAATTCTTAATTGGTCTCCACCCTAAAGATCTTTTCCTCCACCTCCTGTTCTAAATGAAAAGTGTAATCATTAATTAATGGAACACACATTTGCTTAATTAAATACACACAGGTTTACATTACAGAATCAGTGCATTGACTTTATGACTCTGGGATAAACTTGGAAAGTCTTGTTTAATTAATGAGGCGAAAGTTATTCCGTCACAGATTTTCACTCTGTAGTGGATTCCCTTTTAGTTTAATGAGACATGACTTCACTATTTACACTATTTTTGTCAGACTTTGCAGAGTTTCTGTCTGTACTTAATTCTGAACGGACAATTAAACACGTCACTATCATTAATTCCTCTCCCTGCCCAGTAGAGTGGGAACACACAAGTCAACACCTTTTGAACACAAGCTGAGTCCATGACCCTGTAATCTGCTGCCCAACTCTCATCATTCCAGCTGTTAAAAATGAAAACAAAGTGGAAAGTTAATAATAAAAATCATTTTATAATCAGTAAAACACCTTCAAGTTCCCTTTTGAGTTCAGGCTGAGCAGAAGGAGAGAGGCAGTGCTTGACTTAATAGAGAGGCGAAGTCCCGCCCATCTACTTCCGACCCATGGGACCTTATTTCGGAAAAGTTATGTATTGAAGTCAATGGGGAGAGAAAACGTATCTTTCGATCCCGTTTGAATTGTGCCACGAATTACACATATGATGTTTGTCAATCTTAAATAATCATTTCCATGTAAAAAAAGTCACAGTTTGTCGTAAAACTGTTGAAATATAAGACTATGAAAAATACGCAACTAGAAAGACTACAAATCCCAGAATCCCGGTCCCGCATGCTGGCTCTTACGGAACCGACTAACTCCCCTTGTGTGTATGTACAGCTCTCAACACGCCCAGACTTGGAGTGATTTTCACCTCTTTTAATACTTTTCGCCTCATTCTGAAAGAAAGAAGTGAAATGTGCCAACGTGACGGCCGTCTTGGTGTGTGGTGCGAGACGGGAGATGTAGTTCATTGAGCGGTTTCACACAAAAAAAAGTGTTACTTCACAGTTTTACGACACATTTACATTTTTTTGACTTGAAAAATTCTCTTTTAAATTGACAAACATCATGTGTGTAATTCGTGGCACAATTCAAACGGGATCGACAGATAAGCTTTCTCTCCCCATTGACTTCAATACATACGTTTTCCGAAATAAGGTCCCATGGAGATCCCCCGGAAAGGGAGGGACTTCGCCTCTCTATAAAAAGGCTCAACACTAGACAGGTTTCTGAGGCTTTACATACCAAAGTATGATTATAATTATTTATGAATAGCACTTTGTCAAGTCTTATACGAAGTGGGTAGAAAACTCAACGCTTCTTAGAGCTTGTCTGTGTGTGACTGAGGAAAAGAAGTGAAATGAAACGAAATCATGATTTCATGTTCACTACTTTTATTGGAATTAATTGGTAAAAAAGGTGACTCTTATATCAGACATTGTTGTATATGTAATGTAATATTGTATAGCCTTAAGACACATTTGGTACACTTTAAGGTGCTCAGATGAAGGGAACATTTGGGCATCTGCTAGGCCAATTTCCCCAGCCGCAAAACAAAAACTTAAAGGTCACCTATCATGCTATTTTTAGACAATAGCATAGGTCTCAGATGTATAAAAAAATATAAAAAACATGTCTATGAAGTGTTTTGCTCAAAATACCAAACAGATCACCCATTCTAGCCATGCCTCATATCCCTCTATTTCACTTCCTGTTTCAAAAGTGCGGATTTTGGGGTATAAAGCTTAAAAAAAAAAATTGATAAAGAAAAAAAAAAAGGACCCGGCAGCTACTGTCTAAACTAAATACTGCCGTGATGAAACGCCATATCATGGATTATCAAGGATTATTTCTGAAACAGTATGGAGCTCAAAGGCTTTCTCTTTTGCCGGTTATACCACAAGGTGAGTTCCTTTTTATTTCCTGCTTCACACACATGGTCTCCAGTACAGGTTAGCTCTGAGTGTTAGCGATGCTAATGTAAACACCGACCATATTACGTCCAAAACAGTCGGGCATTGTTTCTGATAGCAACTTTCTGATAGGGCCGTGGGTGTAAAGCCAGCCTACATTTCCGATATTACGTCATATCGGACGCAAATCTGGATCAGCTCCGT